AATTGGAGAATTTTAATGTTTTTCATTTATCATTGTAAAACCAAGGACAATTTTATAACTTTTTTGTACGTAGCTGTTACATGTAGGGCAATCTGTCTTTAAGTAGGGGTCAATTACTCTAAAAGAAATGAATCCGAGATAGTTTTCCCTTAAAGTCAAGCGTCTTGTTGTTTAAATAAACTTCTTGTTTAAAATGAAAAAAAAAAAAAAAAAGACCGTAGGACAGAAAGTTGTTGTTTAAGTGTCGCTGAGTCAGTGCCGACTCATAGTGACCCTCTATAGGATTTCCAAGGAGCAACTGATGAGTTTGACCCACCGACCTTGAGGTTCAAATCGACCTGATTTTCAGTCCAGTGCTTATCCTACAGCACCACATCAGAAGTTCCCATACTGTTTCCAAGGCTGCAAATTTGATGGAAGCAGATTGCTACACCTTTCTCATGCAGATCAGCTGGTGGGTTCAATCTGGGATGTTTGGCTAACTGCTGAATACTTAACCACTATGCCACCAGAGCTCCTTCAGTGAGTACATACTAAGTTTGATTTCACAAGTTTAACACACAGTCCTCTGTGCTCATCACTCTGGGCTAGATCTGGTCCTTTTGGGATATCCCAATCACTTAACGCTATCCTCGTCTTTCAACTATAGTACTCCATTCCGGAAATAAAAGACGGCCTTTCCAACCTAAGAAAACACTGTTTTCTCTTTTTAAGTTTTCTAAATGGAGTGCTGGTGTGGTGCTGTAGGATAAGCACTGGACTGCTAAACGCAAGGTCAGCAGTTGAAACTCACCAGACATTTCTTGTAAACCCTGTACCAGGTTGCCATGAGTTGGAAGTGACTTGATAGCACTTCACAACAAAAACACGAGTTTTCTAAACTTTCTTGTCTCCCCAAAACCACCGCCATGAACAACAAGAAACATAATAAAACTATTCATCCTAAAGATAATATTATATTTTTTAAATACAGATAAGGAAAAACATTATTTACAAAATTAAAGCCAGAGAACATTTTGGTGCATATCATTCTAGAAATGTTTATATTTGGCAGGTATGGATATATGTGTACAAGGATGCTTCAAAAAGTCCGTGGAAAAATGCAATTCTTCCATGAACCTTTTTTTTAAATCCCCTTATATACACAAATGATATCTTACCTTTAATTATTTTACTGAAATTAGATTCAGTATGTAGCCCTGGTGGCACAGTGTTAAGTGCTCAGCTGCTAACTGAAAGATCAGTGGTTCAAATCCACTGGCAGTACCATAGGAGAAAGATGTAGCAGTCAGCTTCCATAAAGATTTAGTCTTGGAAACTCCATGGGGCAGATCTACTCTGACCTCCAGGGTCTCTAGGAGTTGAAATCATCTCAGTGACAGAGGGTGTAAATTCAACAAGTCTGTGAGTACAGCATTCATGTTTCCTACCCAAAGACATTGATTTCCTTCCACAAAATCCCCCATTCTCTCAGTACCATGGCTCACAATAGAACAATTTGGAATCACTTTCGATTACAACCTTTTATATATTGAATTTGTTATATTAGAAGTGCCTGATGGATACTTTCCACTGTATTTCTCCTTGTACCAATTCAATTCAGGTCCCATCTGTGAGCACCCAGATCATCCACGCTGCTGTATAAACGTTCTCCCACACACTAGCACAAGATAGGATGGCCAGGTAAAATACAAGACGTCCAGTTATATTTGAATTTGTAGAAAAACAACAAGTATTTTTTAGCATAAGTATGTCCCATTTAATATTCGAGAGAGATTTATACTAAAAAAAGTATTTGTATGTGGTACTGTAGGATAAGCACTGGACCACAAGATTAGTTGGAACTGTAAGGTTGTCGATTCAAACTTACTAACTGCTCCTTGGAAACCCTAAACAGGGTCACTATGAGTCAGAACTGACTTCACAGCACTTAACAACAACAACAAAGACAAACTTAAGGAACCCGGGTGGCTCGATGATTAATGCTATGCTGTTAAACAAAAGGTCAGTGGAAAAAAGACCTGGTGACCCGCTCCCAAAAAAGACCATCGTGGTTAAGTGCCGGTGAGTTGGTTCCGACTCATAGCAGCTCTGTATAGGACTTCTGAGAAGCAGCTGGTGGGTTTAAACTGCTGACCTTGTGGTTAGCAGTTCAGTGCTTATAAAGATTGTTGTTGTTGTTGTTAAGTGCCATTGGGTTGCTTCCAACCCATAGCGACCCTGTATAGGGTTTCCAAGGAGTTTGAACTGCCGACCCTGCTGGGTCACTAGGATTCAGAATCGACCCAATGGCACACAGCAAAAACAATGGTAAACTCAGCCCAAGGATGATAAATAAATCGTATAACGTGCCAACTAGTCTTTTTCACATGCCCTGGCACACTCTCCTGAGCCTAACCATGGCTTCAGAAATGTTCTCCCTACATTCCAAGCAAATATGAAGATACTAGCAATTTGGTCGGCACAGGCACATGAGGTACAACTTAGTAATGATCCCTGCCTGGTCTCTCCCCTTGTAATTTAGTCCTGCAGATTAACCAGGTATGAAGACATAATACAAAACTCATAAATTGGTTATAAGATTTTCACCAACGAGCCATGTGATCTTAGAAAGTCAATGAGCTTCTCCAGGTTCCCGTTCACTGTCCTAACAAAGAAAGGTAATGGACAAGATGATTTCTGAGGTGGCTCATGGTTCTGATTCTGTGTTTTTGTTGTTAAGTGCGGTCAAGTCGATTCCAATTCACTGTGACCCTATATAGGGTTTCCAAGACGTGAATGGTGAGCTTGAACCTTGTGGTTCAAACTGACCTTGCAGTCCTGTGCGTTAACCCACAATAGTTCCTGGCCTATAATAAATATTATAGTCATCCCCAGCCTATTACAAAGAAAGAAATTGATGGCACCATGGAAAGGGTAACAACCCAAGAGATCAGAATTTGAGTTCATGTTCTAGTTCCTTACTTGAGATTTGGGGCAAGCAGTTAAACACGCCATACTTCAGCTGGATCACTTAGCTACTTCACAGGATTGTCAAGGATTTAATGATCCAATGTCAAAATACAAACATAAGCAAAAATTCCCTGTCTAAGCCAAAGTTAATTTCCATTTTCCTGAAATACAAAGGTTTCATTGCAATCAATGAAGTCACATCCAAACTGTTATTATGCACAGTCACTGTACTCAAAGCCTTTGGAAAGGCTTGTTCCGTAATTTAAATGTTCTCCTCACCTGAGCCTACTGTCCTTTAAAGTCCACTTCAAATACTACATTCTTCATAAATCATCTACCAAGTCTTTTTAGTTATAAAGTAAAGGCTGGAGGATTCTCTCCAACTCTATGACTTTGAATTATTGCCAAACTAATTTTTCAAATGTATTAATTAAGTTGACTGCAAAGTCATTTGAACTGCAAAGTCGGTGGTTCAAGCTCACCAGCTGCTCCTTAGAAACCTTATACAGGGTTGCTATGGGTCGGAATCGACTTGACAGCATTTAACAACAACAATTAAGTTGAAATATTTTATTAGGTGCTTAGTATTTACAAGGCATTATTCTAAGTGGAAGGGGCCCTGGTGGTGTCGTTGTTAAGTGCCATCGAGTCAGTTCCAACCCATAGCGACCCTGTATAGGGTTGCCAAGGATCAACTGGTGAGCTTGAGCCACTGACCATGCGGCCCAAATGACTTTGCAGTCCAGCGTATTAGCCCACAGCGCCATGCCAGGTACTGTGAGATAAGCACTGGACTGTTAATTGCAAGGTTGGTGGTTCAAACCCATCAACTACTGCACAGAAGAAAGATGAGGCTGTCCGATCCCATAAAGATCTACAGTCTCCAAAAGCCTCATATGTAGGGTCACTGTAAGTTGGAATGGATTTGGTGGCAGTAGAATTGGGTGTAGGTTCTAAGTGAAGAATATTTAGAATGAAAATAGATGAACAAAGTCCTCACTCCCATGAAACCTTAACCCTACTAGTCACAAACCCTTTCGGCCACCTCCAATAATGCTACTGAAGGTGTGGTCTGTGGACAATGGCATGCTTATACCCAGTCCCAGTGAAAACCAGAACTTGGTGTGCTTTGTGTCCCTATATAGTTGTAACTGAGTCAGTTACAACTCACAGTGACTGTATATAGGGTTTCCAAGACAGTAAACCTTTATGGGAACAGCAAGTCTCCTCTTTCTCTTGCCGAGCATCTGGTGGGTTTCAACCTGCAACTTTGCAGTTAGCAGTCCAGTGCTTATCCTACAGAGTCAGGAGCATCCCCCAGAGTTTAACTAACTACAGCATCACACATGCATGTTAGTTTAGCTAAGGATCCCTGGCCAACAGTAGTGTGTCAGTTTGTCCTATTGTGGTGACTTGTGTATTGCTGTGATACTAAAAGCTATGCCAAAGGTATTTTAGATATCAGCAAGGTCACCCATGGTGGAGAGATTTAAGCTGAGCTTCCAGATGAAGACAAATAAGGAAACAAGAGAGGTGGACTACGTCTGAATGTTATGCCACTGAAAACCTTACAAACAGAAGTAGAACATGGTCAGATGCAGTGTGGAGAGGTGAAAGTATTATGAACAGCACCTGAATATTGTCAGATACAGTGCTGGAAGATGAGCCCCTGAGGTTGGAAGGCACTCAGAATACAACTGGGGAAGAGCTGCCTTCCTTCTCAAAGTAGAGTTGATCATGATGACGGGAATGGAGTAAAGCTTTCGAGACCTTCAACTGTTGATGGGGCACAACTCAAAATAAGGAGAAACAGCTGTACACATCCATTAATAATCAGAACATGGAACATACGAAGTATGAATCTAGGAAAACTGAACTTAGGAAAAAGGAAATGGAATGCAAAAAGACTGATATGCTAAGAATGACACAGTGGCAGAAGCAATGAGCTCAACTGCAACAAACAACAGTGCAGATGGTACAATACTGGGCAGTGTTCTGTTCTGCTGTGTGTAGAGTCGCTGAGTGTTGGAATTGACTCAATGGCACTTTATAACAACTACAAAGAGCCCTAGTGATGCTGTGGCTTAGGTATTAAGCTGCTAATGACAAGTTTGGCAGTGTAACCCCCTAGTGACTCCTTGGAGAAAGCTGAAACTCTCTGACCCCATCAAGGTGTACAGTCTCAGAAACCCATATAGAATGTTGCTATGCGCTGGAATCAACTTGACAGCAGTGGTTTAGTTTAGTTCAGTTGCCTTTTTATCCAGTGCACTGATTTACTTTGTTATTTACAACCTGATTGTCTTGAGTAACAGATTCTAAACTATTAGCTATTACCAGGCAGGGATCCAGCAGACATCTAGTAAGTACTGTCATCAGTTGTTAGGTGCTATTAAATTGATACCGACTCATAGCGACCCTATGCACAACAGAACAAAACACTGCCCGATCCTGAGCCGACCTCAATCGTTACTACATTTGAGCTCATTGATGCTGCCACTGTGCTAATCCATCTCATTGGGGGTCTTCCTCTTTTCTCCAACCCTCCACTTTACCAAGCATAATATCCTTCTCCAGTGACTGGCCCCTCCTGACAGTATCCTACTGACTGTTATCAGTAGGATATTTTAAAAATGTTTAAACCTTTCCATAAATGTATTTATAAAGCAAACATTCACCTACAGACAAACTGTGAGAGGTTTTACCTGGCACAGCGTATAAGCGTGAAGACCGGTTTTGTGTCTCAGTAAGCTAGCAGCTTTGCCTGTAGGAGCTGTAAGTAACACTTCTATAGCTTTGCCGGCCTCCACTTGGTTTTGCTCAGTAAAGCTCTGCCATTCTTCTGACAAATCCTGGTCTCGCTCAAAGTCTTCACAAGCCTTTTTCACTTCTTTTTCTTCCAGCTGCTGTATATGCTTAAAAAGGTGGCTAACAATTGTGGTCTTTCCACAGCCCCCTTTCCCACTTATGACTGTCACAGCATTTGAACAAATCATTTCCAAAGCAGTTACTTGATCCCGATCCAGTTGAACATCATCTGTTTCTGCATTAAGTTCATTTGCACCATTATGGTCCCTGTTCTCCTGTGTGTCCACAATGTGCAGAGAATTTTCTAATCTTCTTTCATCTGGTATTACACTTTCATGCAATATGTCACCACTTTCTGAATCCTCCGGTTTGGGGGCACGAAGAGATGCAAGCACCTTTCTAACATCTACACGCAGATGCCACGGAGGTCCTCTCATCAGTTGGCATATCGAAGAAGCAATGGTTTGTTCGGCCTGGTAAAGGTCATAGAGAAAAATCCAGCTTTTCTCATAGGTCACCACACCGATATCCTTCAAAAACTTCAGAGAGTGCCAAGTATCATTAAAAGACATATGGTGTGACAATGCAGAAGTCAATTCAACTTCTTCAATGCAAGTGTGCCCATGCTCCCTGCATATCTGCTTCAGTTTGGAATAGATCATCAATGCATTCTTCTCTAAGTCAGTCATCGACTGGAGAAGAGGCTGGCACTGATTAAAGGCTGTCCAACTCGCCTCGCATCGCACAAGCTTCAGTTCTCTGTAGGTTATCTAAGAAAACAAAGTTCAAATTGCTGTATGAAAAATTAGGCTGGGGAATATAACTGCTTGCTGTTGTTAAGTGCTGTCAAGTCAGTTTCAACAACTAACCTTGTGGTTAGTGGTCCAGTGCTTATCCTACAGCACCACACCAGGACCGTGAATATTACTAGACTTACAATACAAACTGGAGTCCTGCTGTGGTGTTGCAGGAGGAGCACTGGCCTGCAAGCATGATTTGAACTCACCAGCTGCTTGTCGGAAACCCTATACAGGGCCTCTATGAGTCAGAAACGACTCAATAGCACTTAACAACAACAACAACACAATTAAAACTAGGCTATTTCTTAATAACATCTTTATTTCACAAAAGACATGTATTTCAACTACATTTGGAGGAAAAGAGATGATGTACCTAATACATCACTAATTCTTTTAAACGTACTAATTGTGATTACAGATGTATATAATTTTTATTAAAATTTTAGTTTACCAAATCAATATACATATAGTTGTAAAAGTCAAATAGAACTGCAATGCTTACAACATTCTTTCTAACAGCAAACACCTTCTTGGAGTTATTTTTTCCAGAATTTACCTCCACATTTCTAAATGCCATTTTCTTTTTTTTTTTTTTACTATTCCTTGATTTCTTTTGTTTTGTTTACCATTTTAGACATTTATTAATTCTCTCTTTAACTTACTTTACTAAATCCAAGTTTCCATGGATATTCACTCAAAATCTCTTCTATCTTTTCCAGCTGCACTGTAGAGTCTGAGTTGATGAGCTGTTTAAAGTGTCGAGGCAGAAGAATTGGAAGGAATTCCATTATTTTCGGAAACTGCAAAGCTGTCATAACATTTTTAAACGGAACTACAGGACATCAGAAAAGAACAAATTAAAATGAGCTCACACACTGATTTGAAGGACTTTCTCATTTAGCACAGTCAGCTCAAGAAACTCGAATCAGAAAGACGGATGAATTTATTTTACTCCATAAGAAAACTGGTAATATGACAATTCCTTTTGTACTGAGATGGTTCTCATTAAGCTAACAACAGAATTTATGTTCTTTAAAACCTCAGACAAACTACTTCTTAGCCTTCTGTTTCCTTTCACTTATAATCAGAACCAAATTTTTGACTCAATGACATATAATTTAAAGCTAAGCATAAAAATAATCATTTACATTTTAGCCTTTACAATCATTTCTCCAACTATAATCTCGATTCTTTGGTCATAGAAGTCATTCAGTAATGTGCTGTCAAATGCATTTGATATAATCAAGAAATGTCATGTGCACAGATAAGCCCAAATAACAGTCACTGTTTGAAAACACTAATTTTACACCATTTGGACTGAAATCTTTCCAAAATAAATCTTGCCTTTCCCCTATGCCTTCTTAGACAGAATTAAACATACAGTGAACTTATTCTTATATTGTTGCTGTTGTTATGTGCCGTCAAGTCAATCCCGACTCATAGATACCCTGTATCGGAGCAGCTGGTGGATTTGAACTGCCAACCTCGCAGTTTGCAGTTCAGTGCTGATCCTACAGTGCCACACTAGGAGTCTTCTCTTCTATATGCAGAGTAATTCTTATTGACACAGAAGTTGTTACTTGTCATCAAGTCAGCTCCAACTCAGTTCCCACCTTATGCACAACAGAACAATATGTTGCCTGGTTTTGTGCCATCTTAACAAGCCTTAATGTGCTTAGGTCCACCATTATGACTATCATGTATTCTGAGTGCCCTCCAACCCAGGGGACTCATCTTCTAGCACAATATTGGGCAGCATCCTGGTATGAGTCATAGGGTTCTTACTGGCTGATTTGCATAAGTAGATCACCAGATATTTCTTCCTAGTTTGTCTCAGTCTGGAAGTTTCACTGTAATCTATCATAAGCATAGGTGAACCTGCTGGTAGTTGAAACACTATTTCAAAGCGCTCAACAGCATAGCACCATGACACACTAATGAAGGGTGAGGGATACAAGTTACACACTGCCCTGTGTTCCCCAGAAATATGTGTTAGCTTGGCTAGGTTACGATTACCAATATTATGTGATTGTTCTCCATTTTGTGATTTGAAACAATTATTCTCCATTTAGTGAGATGCTATTAATCCTAACTTCACTTTACCTTATGTTACAGAGGATTAGGTTAGTTCATAAGGCACAATTAGAGTGGGATACATCACCTTTAGTTGAATCATCACCCTTACCCAGGCCAGGATCCTAATCCCAAATCAGTGGGGTTTCCCTAGGCTGTGGTCTACATCACCTTTTATCTTATAAGCGGTAAAAGGAGAAAGAAGTGAGCAGAGAAGGAGCGATCTACCATCAAGAAAGAAGAGCGTGGACCAGAGCCCACAAATCTACAAGGAAAGGTGTTTGTCAGGGCTATAGTCTTTCCCCATACTTATCCAACCTGTATGCTGAACAAATAATCCAAGAAGTTGGGTTCTATGAAGAAGAACATGGCATCAGGACTGGAGGAAGACTCATTAACAACAATAATAACAGTGTCTAGGATATCAATCTTTATGTCTTCCGTTTCATTTTTAACAATTTCCAATTTTCCTAGATTCTTATTTTTACATTTTACATTCCAGGTTCCAATTATTAATGGATGTTTGCAGCTCTTTCTTTCCATTTTGAGCTGTATCCCATCAGCAAATGAAGGTTAAACGCAGTGTTCAATTCATGTCATTAAGGGCATCGCTACTTTGAGGAGGCAGCTCTTCCCTAGTCGTATTTTGAGTGCCTTCCAACTGAAGAGGCTCATCTTCCAGCACTATATTTAACAATATTCCACTGTTATTCATAAGGTTTGCAGTGGCTAACTTCTGCAGGAAGTGGTCTTTCTCCACTCTACCTTAGTTGGAAGCCCTGCTGTAATCTGTCCACCATGAGTAACCCTGCTGGTATCTCAAATACCAGTGGCATCACTTCCAGCATCCCAGCAACATGCAAATCACCACAGTGTGACAAACTGACAGATGAATTGTGAAAGCAACAAATATCTGGACTAAAAAACACAAAAAATCCAATCAAATAGTCTGTCTTTAAATAGACGAGTTTAATAATAATAAATAAATAAAAAGATGTCCAAAGTATGTGAGCTGAAGTCTCACCAATCTCTCTTCTAAGAAGCACTCTGACAGCACTTCCTCCAAGACAGACTGGGTTGTTCTTCTCGCAGCCCGTGGTACTTTCAATACTCTTTGCCAGCACTACAATTTAAATGCATCAATTCTTCTCCAGTCTTCCTTATTCATTATTCAGCTTTTACATGCCCGTGAGGTAACTGAAAATACCATGACTCAGTCCACACCTTAGTCCTCAAAGTGAATCTTTGCTCTTCAATACTTTAAAGAGGTCTTTGGCAGCAGATGTGTCCAATACGGTATGTTATGGATGAGGAACCTCAAATCCAAAACTGCTAACCTCAAGGTCATCAGTTCAAAACTACCAGCTGTAGAAAGATGAGGCTTTCTGCTCCATAAGCTCTACAGCCTCTGAAACCCTATGCAGGGTCACTATGAGTCAGAACCAACACCACTTCACACCACCACAGATTCTCGTAGTATTTGTTTTTCTATTGCTACATGGTTGTAGACTCCTTGTCTGCTTTTTAGATTTTTTGCTTATTTCCCTCCATGTAAACTATCTCCTAACACTTTTTGTTCACTCTCACACTCCCTTGCCATGTGGGTATTTCTCTCTACGCCAAATTCTGGGGACTTCACCATCCATAAGTTGGTCCACCCAGAATCTCAGTAACTGAACTCCTCAGTTCCCATGACCCTCAACACATCCCTGGAAATCACTGTGTCTAGAATCATCTGAAATTGAGACTTTCTAAACTATGAGTCGGAACTAACTCAACGGCACTAAACAACAACAACAACCCTGCCTGCCCCCATTTTCCCCCGGGGACTACTTTAAAACTGCTCCCATCTACTCAGCCTTCCTTCTTCTCCTTATCAATCTCAAGCAGCAGTAACCTAGTCATTAAAGAAGAAAAAAGGCCATTGCCTCGAATTGCCTCCGTTTCCCGTGATCACACTTACAGATTTTGTTCCATCTGTACCCATACTTTTTCTTGCTTCAATGACAATGGAAGTCGGTCCAGCATCCATGTCCTTTAGCACTGTCAACAGTCCAGCATTCATTATTTCAGGATATTTACTGAATGCCTGCTGTGTGCTAGATATAATTGCAGTTACTTAAAATCCAGCAATAACCTTATCAAAGTCTCTACTCTGAAAAACCTTACATTCTATTGAGCAAGTCAAACAAACAAGCAAACAGATTACTACATCAGACGATAAACACTGGAATGGAGCCATGTAAAATGTACCCATTTGAAAGAGGAAAAAGTCCTGAGGAAAAGGAGAGTGCCAAATACACTACTGTTTGAAGTAGAACAAGGAGGCCAGTGACAAATAAGCTAAAACAATGAGCAACAAATGAGCTGAAGCAAAGTGAGCAAAGGGAGAAGTTTTCAGAGCTATGTCAGGGAGGTAACAGGAATTAGATCAGGTAGAAGCTTGTAGCTTTTACTTTACTTTTTATGTTACTTTATCTTGTAGCCTTATCTTAAAGCTAATACTTTAGATTTTACTCTGACTGCAATGGAAAGCCACTGAAAGGTTTTGCGCAGAGAGACAGCACAATCTGACTTTTAAAGGATCACTAAAAGAAAAAGAATAAACTGAAGGGTCTCAAGAAAGTAGTCAGGAGACAACTGAGAGAATCTAGGTAGAAACGATGGAGGTTTGCATATGAACAGTGGTGGAATACAGATGATAAATTGAGAGCTCTAGAAATAAATGGGTAAGTCAAAATGTTACCCATTGCTATAAAATCATAGAAACCTTTATTAAACAAATATCAAAATGTCAAGCTATTGTTTCTAAATACATCCTTCGCTTAGATCTACACACTTTTCAAGGTATTGTTTCTATCTCTCTCATCTTTCTCCCAAAAATATTGTGCTCTTTGATTTACACCATATCAATGGGGCAGTTTCAGCATCTTCAAGGGACTCAAATTCAATTCCTTGTCAATGTTTTTGGAGTTTGGGGAACACCCAGAACTCAGAAAGGGCAAGATCAGGGCTGGAAGGTGGTGAAATACTTGTAGGACACCCGTTGCTACACTAGAAGAAGGAGCATCTGCGCTGTCATGATACAGCTTTCGTGGTGATTTCTCAGTACCAGGCTTTTCTATCACCAAGACAGATGTCAATTTTTTAAATCTTCATCCTAATAAGCCACTATATTGTACCCATCCAGAAAATCTACCAAGATTATTTGTTTGGAATTTTTAAAAAATAAGTCACCAAAACCTGAGTAGACTTCTTTGCCTTGAATTTACCTGGCCCAGCAGATTCCCGTGGAAGCCATTGTTCTGACTCAATCTGCCTTTTGAAGGCACTCTAATGAGACGACAGTAAGCATATTACTGGGAGAACTTGTCTGCAGCCATTCACCACTGATCAGCGGCATAATTAAATACGTTTTATCTAGAACAAATTCATGCATGTATGAACTGGAACCCTATTAGCAATACTTGTATTTTCAAGGCACAGCCAACAGTATTTGCAGATGGACTGGATGTGGAGTACAAAGAGAAGAGAAAAGTCAAAGAGAACACAAACAATATTAACCTGAACAACAGGAAGACTGTCATTTTCTAAAGACTGTCATTTTTTTAGGCAAAAACCTAAAGGGAAACAAGTTTAGAAAGAAAAAAATCATGTGTTCCATTTTGTACATCTTAACTCATAAATAAGTGAATGCCTCCAGTGCTGCATCAGTTTGTTGAAAGATTTCAATTTGTATTCCATCAATTCCTGGAGCCT